CTGAGGGGCCCCCAACTGGATCAGGCCCCCTTAACGGGTGAGACAGTCATTCGGCTTGATCTGTTTGGGAGGCAGCTGTGCATTGGTGCCAGGTCCTGGGCTCGTTGCATGAGTTGGCTGTTTGAACCCTGGGACCTATTCAGGGACGCTTGGCTCGGTCTGGGAGTGGGGGACTGGACCTGGCTGGACTGAGTCTACCAGGTCGATCCCGGTCCTCGGGGGAGAACTTGATCTGGAGGAGGTGGGGATGAGGGGTGGGGTGGGGGGAGGGGGAGGGGGGGCGAGAGAGGGAGAACAGGGGAATCTGTGGCTATTATGTTGAACTAAATGATGTTGTAAAATAAATTTACTAAAAAAAAAAACAATGTGCTCCCATGAATGCACGCACACAGCCCTGCCTGCCCCCTCATGATAAATAGATGTAAAAATACTTTTAACCTGTTTATTAATCCCAGCACTCGGAAGGCAGAGCCAGGCATATCTCTGTGAGTTCGAGGCCAGCCTGGTCTACAGAGTGAGTTCCGGGACAGCCAGGGCTGCACAGAGAGACCCTGCTAGGGGTTAGGGGGCGCATAATAGGGGTGCAAATGAGCAGACTTCCCTACAAGCTGCTTTGCTGTGGATGAGCTTCAGAAATTTGGCCAACTTCTACCACATAGGAAATCAACAGCTCCCACTTCTGTTAAGTGAGTGAAAGGAAAGAAAATCTGAAATCCAGATGGGGCACTGGTGGGTTGACAGAAATCCTTGGGAAATACCCATAGAAACTGTCTGAAGATGCTGTAAAGCCAGACAACGACACCCATTCAAGAAGTTGAATCTTTATTTGCCTAAAGAAAAATTACATATAGACCACCACTATTACTATGTCCTATGATAACCGTCAGTGCACACTTAAAAACCAAGTTAAAGGGTGGAGTTCCAGCCTTGAAAACCAAATTGATAATCCTGCCAGTCTGGGGGCAGGGGCTGCATGCTTATTGCTAGAACTGGGTCATAATTCATATTTAGGAAGCTTCTTCTCGGGTACAGGAAGTCATAGGGAACCACTCGTGGGTGTGGTGAGATTTTGTTTGGTTTTTGGTTGTTGTTTGATTTTTTGTTGTTATTGTTTTTCTTTCTTTCTTTTTTTTCTTTCGTTTTCTCCGAAACTGTAGACTGAACTGAGGGCAAGCGCTCTACCACTGAGCTAAATCCCTAACCCCAGGTGTGGTGATGTTTTATTTGTTTAGAAATTTATCTACACATGGGAATCCTGGATCTTTGTTACTTGTTACTTTGTTACTTGTGTTAATGGTTTCACAGAAGGTTGTAAGATTCCTGGACTCCACCTTAGCCCCACCCAATACTGCTCCTTAAATTCCTGCAGCTCACACCTTGCAGGCTGGTCCCAGGGCAGCCTTGGGGAGCCTGCGGGTCTGTTTTGATGGGACCCGTCTATGGTGGTATTTTATTTGTACTGAAATGTGATTTTCATTGTATGTTAATAAATAAAGTTGCCCAGGGGTCAGAGCTATTAGAGCTATAGCAAAAGCTGGGCATTGGTGGTGCACACCTTTAATACCAGCACTTGGTAGGCAGAGCTAGGTAGATCTCTGTGTGTTCAAGGATACCGCCAACATTGGAGACACACGCCTTTAATCTCAATACCATAGAAGACCTGTGGGCTGTACATACAGGCAGTGATGAGGCAGTCATGTGTTTGAGTTTACAACCAATGAGAAGGCAGAACAGAAAGTCTATATAAAGACAAACAGACAGGAAGTAGGTCTCTTTTTGGAGAGGTCTCTTGGCTGAAGAGGCTAGCTGCAGGGTAAGGCTCTTAGCTCTGATCTCTTGGCTTTCTTCTTTGCATTGGCTCTGTGTTTCTTATTTAATAAGACGGTTGGTTACATCTACACCCGTCTCCTGCTGGGCAGTATACACAGCTGTTGGCAGCACCTTGCTGCCCATCTAGCCAAAAAGGCATTGATGCTCTGACTGCCTCTTGCAGAGGTGCAGGCTGCACCTGAGAGCCTGCTGCATCTCCATTACTTGGACCGAATTGGTCCTGATGCCCTAAATCCCCCCTCAGAGGCAGTGGTGGCTGATCTCCCCGGTTATTCTTCTGCTGTTCTGGAAACAGCAAGGAATAGTTACCATCCATCTGCCACTGTCCTTGAACACTAGGAACACATCCAAAGGCAGAGGGCATAGAACCGAATTGGTCCTGATGCCCTAAATCCCCCCTCAGAGGCAGTGGTGGCTGATCTCCCCAATTATTCTGCTGCTGTTCTAGAGACAGCAAGGAATAGTTACCATCCATCCGCCACTGCCCTTGAACACTAGAAACACATCCTAAGACAGAGGACATAGAACACTGGCTTCTCCATGTCTTAGGCCAGTCACCCATAGGGGGAGGAGCAAAGTTTGTCGGTGTGAAGTTAAGAGGAGATCCACTTCCACTGGTGCCTTGATGCCATGCAGCACCACTTGATCTCGTTCCGATGCTTTGGATCTCGGAGTCATGTGAGCCAGAAGCTTCCTGGATCTCTACAGAACAGGCAGTAAGACTCCATGGAGCCACCTGCACAGAAGAGACTTGCTCAGTGGTGTGATTGGCAGCTTGCGCCTGGGTATCCTGGTGGCCTGTACGCATGCAGTCTTGGCTCTTGTGTGGTCTCTTGATGGCAAAATTTTTGCCTTTCAATGTTGGTGATAGCCTGGATCTTTTATTCTGAAACCAGTTCTAAAGAGAAAAAAAGGAAATTGTCAATTAAGCCTGCTTTGCAGCAGTATCCCACCATGCATTTTTTTCTGTCCCCCCCCCCCCCTTTGTTTGTTTGTTTGGAGACAGAGTCTCTATTATGTACCTCTGGTTATCCTGGAACTCACTGGATGGTATACACTGATAATCCTAGCACTTGGAAAGCTGAGGCAGGAAGATTCAGAGTTTAAAGCCACTAGTGGGGAAACCTACTCATTTCGCTAAATGATCAGGTTGTCAAGCTGCCTTCTAAATATTTGTGTTGCTTTCAACCTTGGTCAAAGATACTTCTTTTTGCAGTGGACAGTAGTTAATGCAGAGGCTTCTAATCCGTCAAGGTACTGAGTGCTTGTGAGTGCCCAATCCTCCAAGGGACATCTACATCAACAAACTGCTCCAAGGATCAGGGACATCACGGAGGAAGGGGTGGAAGAGTGTAAATGCCCAGGGAAGTGTGCTGTGAGTGCTGTCTTCCAGCTGTTGTACTCACTCACACTTAAAAGAAAATTTGATTAACTATAACAACCACACAGTAGACCTGCGTAAGATCAAGCCAGCCACCTGTCCAACATGGGGGCCCTCCGTATGAAGACAACTCCAATCATCCATTTATTTCACTTTTCAAGGCAATCCTTTCTCCCTTGCTCTGTTGTATGTAGAATTATCATTTTAAGATGTGTTACATTTGTTTATGCTGTGGAACATTTGCTTTAATGGTGCAAAGATGTGTTGCATTCCTTTATGTTGCATTTGTTTAGCTCTGTGAAGCTGTGTTACTGTGCCTGTCTAAAACACCTGATGGTATAATACAGGGCTGAACAGCCAATAGTGAGGCAGGAGAAAGGATAGGCAGGGCTACCAGGGAAATAATATATAGAAGGAGAAATCTGGGGAAAAGAAGAAGGAGCAAGAGAACAAGGAGAGGAGACACCAGGGGCCAGCCACTCAGCCACCCAGCCAGCCACAGAGTAAGAGTGAAAGTAAAATATACAGAGGTAAGAAAAGGAAAAAGCCCAGAGGCAAAAGACAGACAGAAAAGCTGGCTTGCAACAAGCCAAGTTAAGGCTGGGCATTCATAAGAATAAGCCTCCATGTGATTTATTTGGGAGCTGGGTGGTGCTCCCCCCCCCCTGCGCAAGAACAAAGAGCCAAAAGAGTAAAAAACAACCAACACTGCTCCACCTTTAAAATGGTCAACATTTTCAATACTAGAAATACCCAGAAGTCTTCCTATTTTGTCCTTGTCACAGCAAACATCAGCATGAAACCATCATAGTCCCTGTCCTGGGTAATGGCAATAACTTTATCATTTATTGTTTTTTGGAGACAGGGTTTCTCTGTAGCCCTGGCTGTCCTGGAACTTGCTTTGTAGACCAAGCTGGCTTCAACTCAGAAATCCACCTGCCTATCACAGCACCCAAGTCAGTGTGGGGATTAAAGGCATGAAACACCATTCATGGCCTAAATGTTTTAGCATGTGTTGTATGGGTATTTTGCCTACATGTGTATCTGCGTACCATGCATGTGAAGTGCTTGTAAAGGCCAGAAGAGGGCATCAGATCCCCTAGAACTGGAGTAACAGAGGCATGAGCTGCCATGTGGATGCCGGGCATCAAACCCAGCTCCTCTGGAAGAGCAGCCCATACTCTTAACCCATCTCTCCAGCCCTGGAGGGGCTTAAGTCCTTAAACTTGTCCCTGCTTCCAAATTTCCCTCAAAATAGGTTATTTTCTGTGTAAGCTGTGTCAAACTGAAAGAAGAAAGGTGACATGTTGACAGGTCAGCTTTCTTGTGATTCTTCACTGCATTTTCCAAATGGCCCACAAAAGGGCATCCTCACAAAAAGCTTCAGAGATCTGACTTACTTCAATCACATACACTTGGCACTTGAAATGCTGTGCCAGCTTATCCTTGGTTTGGGAATCTGGATAAGGATTATTTTCAAACAGTTGTTTAAGTGTCTTCTGCTCATCTTTGGTAAACTTATGTCGAGGTTTTATCCTTCTTCCGTGCTCTGCCTTCACTTTGCAGCCATTGTCCTCTGTGCCTGGAGAACCAGAAATGTGGAAACAGAAACGCATTGAACATCAGTAGCACCCCCAGAAAGGCTCCTTTCTTGACTAGTCATAAAGAATTTTTTTTTCTTTTTCTTTTCTTGGTTTTTTGAGACAAGATTTCCTTGTGTAACAGCCCTGGCTGCCCTGGAACTCTCTGTAGACCAGGCTGGCCTAGAATTCAGAGATCCTGGGATAGAAGGCATGTGCCACCACTCCCAGCTCAATATTTTTTCTTAAAATAGAGCTCTGCCTCATTTCTATCCATAATGAAAGGTTAAAGGTCCATCTTTTTTTTTTTTAATATTTATTTTATTATGTATACAGTGTTCTGTCAGCAGGTGTCTCTGCGGGCCAGAAGAGGGCACCAGATCTCATTACAGATGGTTGTGAGCCATGTGGTTGCTTGGGAATTGAACTCAGAACTTGGAAGAACAGTCAGTGCTCTTAACTGCTGAGCCATCTCTCCAGCCCCAAAGGTCCATCTTTAAATTGATGAGGATATGGGCTGGAAAGATGGCTCAGCCGTTAAAGACTAGGCTCACAACCAAAAATATAAATTGATGAGAATAATTTAATTTATTTATGGTCACTAAATTAGGAAAGGGTTTCTTTTGTCTAACAAAATTGTATACATTACAAAGGAAGATTCTAACGATACTCACTTTCGTTAGTAATTGAGGATGCACCAGCTCACACTAGCATGCAATTCCAGCTTTAAGGGGATTTGATGCCTCTAGCCCCCTTGGGCATCTTCACTCATGCACAAAA